TCATTGTCATTGTCATTGTCATTGTCATTGTCATTGTCATTGTCATTGTCATTATCATTATCATTATCATTATCATTATCATTATCATTATCATTATCATTATCATCATCATTATTATTATTATATAGCTATTATAGTTGTCATTATATAGCAGTTATAATTCCATATTTTTCTAATTTAAAAGAAAAGCATTATAGTTATGCATTATGTAATTACTATTATTATTATTATAATTATTATTATTATTATATAGCTATTATACTTGTCATTAATAGCAGTTATAACTCCATATTTTTCTAATTTAAAAAAAAGCATTATATAGTTATGCGTTATGTAATTACCATTATTATTATTATTATTATTATTATTATTATTATTATTATTATTATTATTATTATATAGCTATTATAGTTGTCATTATATAGCAGTTATAATTCCATATTTTTATAATTGAAAAAAAAGGATTACAGTTATGGTCTAGTAGACTGGTCGCTCTATCACCTAAGAAAAAATCAAATCGTTTAGTCCAGTTCTAAGAATGTTATTGCGTTTTGAAAAGTGTTCAAACATTCGCGGTAGTCGCCGAAGCTTCGTTTTTTAACTGCCGGTAGTTCAGACGTTAACGTAATTTGAAAACAGAACAAAATGGCCGCGACAGAGATAATACAATCGATGTCATTCGTCCAGCGTAAATTTCAATACTCACCTCGCGCTTTGAATAATCGTTGGCCTCGGTTCGCGCGATTAAATTTCGTCTCTTGCTTTTCCAGGCTGTTCTTCGAACTATGTAGAAAATCCTAGCATAGCAGACAACGATAGCAACGCATGGAATTAAGAAAGCAACGACGAACAGAAACTCCTTGGGGCTTCTACCATGGACGTCCGGAAGTATCGAGCAGGATCCAATGGCGGTGTCCAAGCCGAAACGGCCCCAGCTTTCGAACCAGGTAACAACGAGGACACCGAACGCTACCAACCAGATACCAACCACCATCGGCGCTATATATTTTTGTTTGTACAATCTGAAAGCAGAAGAGAACGTCGCAGTGTCGTTTTTCAATCAATTGCGCGATCGTCTAATTTTTTTTCAAACGAAATTTTTGACGTTTCAACAAAATAAATTTAATTTATTAGACCTTTTGCCGATATGGTAAAAATCGATCGTTCAAGTACTCATGCGTGTACGAAAATTCTGCTCTATCTATTCAACGATTTTATCTAGAACGTAAATAATACGATATTTGACTTTAAATACGAACAATAATTTTCCTTTCCGTTTGAACAATTGGACGATTTACGCGACACGAAGGTTTGGTCAACGTTTTATACAGATGTGCAATTAATGTTAAAAATAAATGACCTATGCATTATCGTTACATACAGGGTGTCCCAAAAATGTCTCGCAATCCGAAAGTGGCGGGTTCCTCGGGTCATTCGAAGCAACTTTTTCTTTTACAAAAATGTTCTCCGAGGCACCGTTAACGAGTTATCAACGAAAAACAGTGACCAATGAGAGGTGAGCTCGGTTGGCGCGGGGCGACCGAGCCAATGAGCGGAACCGGGCTTCGTGCGCTGGTTAGCTGGGCCGCCTCGCGTCGGCCGTACTCGATTCTTATTGGTCGCTGTTTTTCGTTAATAACTCGTTAACGGCGCCTCGGAGAACATTTTTGTAAAGGAAGAAGTTGCTTCAAATGATCCGAGGAACCCATCATTTCCGGATTACGAGACATTTTTGGGACACCCTGTATAACAGTAATGTCTCCCTTACTGACGCTCAGATTGTCCACTAAATTGGATAATTTGGCAAGAGGAGATACGATTGTTCGAGTCTTGCGGCTCGTTTTTATAATTGTGTAATATAATTTATAACTATAATATACTATATAATTAATAATATTATAACTATAAATAATATTTACAACTATAATAGCTATATAATTTATAACTATATAATAATATAATTTATAACTATAAAAATAAGCCGCAAGGCTCGGATAATCGTATCTCCTCTTCCCAAATCGTCCATTTTTGTGCGCAATCTGGGAGAGACAATTAAAGAGACAGATCACTGTACTTCCAAAGAATATAAATAGAATTGTTTGTAAACTCGAGTACGTTATTATCGCGACCGGGTTTGATCGATGTTTGCGGAGCGTCCGCGACGATTGGCTACTTACGTGGGATACCATCTAGGATGGCCGATCATGATGTAACGATTGATCGTGATCGCGAGAATCGTGAACAGGCTGACCGCGACCAGGCCGTATCTCAGCAGAGGGAACAGGCGACACAACAATGCCCCGTGCGACCAAGAGCTGTGCCAAAATGTCGACGTGGCGAGGGGTAGATTGAAGCAGCAGAACATCAGATCCGAGACCGATAGATTCATTATGAAGATCGCTGTAGCGTTTCTCAGCTGTAAAACGATAAATATGTAGGGTCAATGTTGGGTATTATTATTCATTATTATTATTAGGGTATTATTATTATTCATTATGAAGATCGCTGTAACGTTTCTCAGCTGTAAAACGATAAATATGTAGGGTCCATGTTGGGTATTAATTACTGCGGAGCGCCCCGAATACAACTGCGGTATTTTTTATAAAAGCAATGGAAATCGAACGTTTTATTATTCGAACGTGTGTATCGAAATTTCAGTTCGAAAGCCCGCGTGCAAATTAGTAAATTCACCATTCCATGTCGCCGTTTACTCGTTTTCATACGATTTCATTTACAGCCAACCCCCCCGATTAACCGTCGTCGGACTTCGGTCTATTTTTGACGACGGTTGCAAACTGTTCCCCACCTAAATCGTAATTTTCTAGCAGCCAGCTCGAATTATCGGCTATGTCGCTAACTATGTTCAATGAAACACGATTAATAGATGGCGGATTTTTATGCGAAATGAAAGTTGTCTGCGTCGATTGCAAGGTACAAATGTTAAATAATTTAAATAAAATAAATAGATTAAAATTAATATATGGATATTTTCAATATTCGTTCGATTCGACCGCTATTTGAATTTTCAGCTGCTAAATAACTTAAATAAAATAAATAGATTAAAATTAATACATCGATATTTTTTCAATATTCGTTCGATTCGACTGCTATTTGAATTTCTAGCTGCTAAATAACTTAAATAAAATAAATAGATTGAAATTAATACATCGATATTTTTTCAATATTCGTTCGATTCGACTGCTATTTGAATTTCTAGCTGCTAAATAACTTAAATAAAATAAATAGATTGAAATTAATACATCGATATTTTTTCAATATTCGTTCGATTCGACTGCTATTTGAATTTCTAGCTGCTAAATAACTTAAATAAAATAAATAGATTGAAATTAATACATCGATATTTTCAATATTCGTTCGATTCGATCGCTACTTGAATTTTCAGCTGTCCGACCGTGTCTAAAATGCATCAAATCCGCGGTCCGACGATTAATCTTGATTTCCAAACACATGCGCGTACGTTGAAACATTGGAAGCTCGACGAGTTAATAGTGGATTGCGTAAATTGTTTAAAGCAGCGTGAGATTGGCCACCGTGATCCGATAAAGGGTTCGTTTCATTTCAAAATTCTCTGTAAAATAGCCATTTGACTATTCTCAAAGGCCTCTTCGTGCTAATAGCGTCAGGGATCGTTGAACTCGTTTCGAAGTCAGTTAAAACGATCGCATTAAAAAGCGATCCGGTGGCTCCGCGAGAGTTCGTCAACTCGGCACAATCTACAAATTAATGGAACCGTCGTTCATCGTCGTCTCTACGTTTGTTATCGTCTTGTACGTCTGGGAATCGCATAAACACCGTCCCCACCGTTTTCTTTACTTTTTTACTTTCGATAGCACACGCACCGATTCGAATGCTCGCACTAACCGAAACGTTCGATATACACGGTCGTAAATAAATATTCCGCCGCGTTCCATGCGCGCAAAAAGGTCTCGTAAATTCATCGTGTTGCGCTATGGCGAGAGGGGCGAAGCGGCGGTAGCAGAAAATAACCGATTCGAAGAGGAATTTCGCATTGGTAAGCAAACCTCCGCAACGCACCGCGTTGTCTCGCCGCGGTTTCATTTCAATTCGTCTTAACCAATTAGCTTGACGTGTATACTCGTCACAGAGAAGTGACAGTACATATTTTGTATATACAGAGTGTCCCAAAAATGTCTCGCAATCCGAAAGTGGCGGGTTCCTCGGGTCATTTGAAGCAACTTCTTCCTTTACAAAAATTTTCTTCGAGGCACCGTTAACGGGTTATCAACGAAAAACAGTGACCAATGAGAGGCGAGCTCGACTGGCGCGAGGCGACCGAGCCAATAAGCGGAACCGGGCTTCGTGCGCTGGTTGGCTGGGCCGCCTCGCGTCGGCCGTACTCGATTCTTATTGGTCACTGTTTTTCGTTAATAACTCGTTAACGGTGCCTCGGAGAATATTTTTGTAAAGGAAGAAGCTACTTCAAATGATCCGAGGAACCCGCCATTCCCGGACTGCGAGACATTTTTGGGACACCCTGTATGTACTTGTCGTGCGTAAAAAGTAGCGACCATTGTCTTAAATTGTGGCTTAAATTGTAATTTTAGTGAGAACAAAAACATACTCCCGAATTTCACGATGTTCAGTCATACAACTGCTTCCGTTAAAAATTGTCGAATACAATTTCTTTATTCGGGGTACACTCTGTCATAAAAATTGCGCGAACTCGAAGAAATTCCATCTCGTTATAATTTTAATGAGAACAAAAACATACTCTCGAATTTCACGATGTTCAGTCATACAACTGCTTCCGTTAAAAATTGTCGAATACAATTTCTTTATTCGGGTACACTCTGCCATAAAAATTGTGCAAACTCGAAGAAATTCTATCTCGTTATAATTTTAATGAGAACAAATACATACTCTCGAATTTCACGATGTTCAGTCATACAACTGCTTCCGTTAAAAATTGTCGAATACAATTTCTTTATTCGGGTACACTCTGCCATAAAAATTGTGCAAACTCGAAGAAATTCCATCTCGTTATTCTTGTCAGGCAATTCTTATTAGTCGCTGTTGGACCTGTCTCGAAGAAGCACCCCTCGATATCATATTTATTATGCCTGACATAACCTCGATATCTGTTTATTATTTACGATATCGCGGCGTTCATCTTTTATCGTGCGAAAATCTCACGACGAATCACGGTGGAGCACGTGACTATAGCAAAATTGTTAACTATGTATGTATAGCGAACAGTTTTTGGTGGTTCTCGAGATTTCGGCGGAACGAAAAAATTTCAGAACGATCGACGTCCTGCGAACGTATCCCGGCGTGCAGCGCTAACTACGCATTTCGGTACGAAGCAACGCCGCTCCTCGTCTTGGAACTGGAAGAAATTTTCGTTTTTCCGGCACAATGGGACCGGTAGAAGAATTTTACGGCGAACTCAAGGCTCGCCGGGAACTGAAAATAAATCGTGTGTGCATGCACGCCGCGTTGTAAAATCGTTCCTCTCCTACACACGAATCCGGGGAACTCGAAGAAAGGAAAATGTTTGTATTCATGGCGGGAAGTTATCGTTGCGTCGACGTAGGGTCTTATCCGGCGAGATCGTAGATCGTAGCTCGGTAAATATCACCGTTTCGAGCCGATAAATGTCAACGTTGCGGAACAATTTCGTCTTTCCGATCGCCGTTCGCGCGGCGAACGTTTTATCGCGCGAGCGAAATTAAAAGAATAAAGAAGGTAGAAATAATGTAGGGTTTGTATGGAATCATAAGTTGAGAATTTCTGAATAAATCACGAGCTATGGGAGCTGCATGGACATTGATACTTAAATCATTTCAATGAGCTGAAAATAATGAGACAGTATTTTTTAATTCTTTAAATGATATTATCGTTCTGTAGATGAAATACCCATTTTTGTCATAAATGCGTCAAATCCGCAGTTTGATCATAGTATGCCATGAGAATATTGTAAATATTCGAAATATTATATAATGAGAATATTGTAAATATTTGAAATATTATATAATGAGAATATTGTAAATATTCGAAATATTATATAATTAGAATATTATAAATATTTGAAATATTATATAATGAGAATATTGTAAATATTCGAGATATTATATAATGAGAATATTGTAAATATTCGAAATATTATACAATGAGAATATTGTAAATATTCGAAATATTATATAATGAGAATATTGTAAATATTTGAAATATTATATAATGAGAATATTGTAAATATTCGAGATATTATATAATGAGAATATTGTAAATATTCGAAATATTATACAATGAGAATATTGTAAATATTCGAAATATTATATAATGAGAATATTGTAAATATTAGAAATTATTTATATAATGAGAATATTGTAAATATTAGAAATATTATATAATGAGAATATTGTAAATGTTTGAAATATTATATAATGAGAATATTGTAAATATTTGAAATATTATATAATGAGAATATTGTAAATATTCGAGATATTATATAATGAGAATATTGTAAATATTCGAAATAAAAATATTGTAAATACATATAAATATATTTGTAATATAATATATGTAAATAAATTTATAATAGCAAAAAAACCGAATGTGTAGTAGATCAACTAATAGCGCAAAAACTAAATTGTTAGAAAAATATAAGTGCATGAATTATTAAATTATTCTAGAGGCCGATGAAACGAGTGCTAATTTCCATTAAACAAATTCTTTCGCATTTTCATTTCATTGTCCTAGAATAATCGGAATACAATCAAAATTAAATAGCAATGAAAAACGTCATTGTTACAGCCCAATTATCGTGCAAGTGCATTATTGTCGCGTGCAAGTGCACCGCCCGACAACAACAATTTTCCATCGTGGAAAAACGGTGTCGGCGCGGGCTTTCATTAAAAAAAATTTCGCCGGACGCCTCGGCATTGTGTTCTAAAACAAGAACCGAGGTGAACCACTTCACAAAGAGCGGCCCGTCTAGGATTTAATAGCGGCGGGTAAGGCGCACCTGGAAACCCGAGAGCAACTGCGACGCCGTAATCTAGATCGTTCCGTGTAAAGAAATTCGTCACTCGGAAATCCAGATATTATCGCCGTCGCTCACTTGTCTATCACCGTGGCTTATCGTTGCGCAATTTTCAGACCACCACCCACAGAGTCTCGAAGAGCATTATCGAACCTCCTTCCGATAATCATCGCACCGTCGTCCTACACGAAAACGACGATGCTTGAAGCTTCGTTACGGTCGCGTCGGACGCTCACGTGGACGCTACGCGGTCTACAGATTTAAATAATAAAAAGATGAAGCGTCGGTATAGGACGATTTTTTATAAAAAAAAATATTCAGGAATAACGCTAAATATTGACTGAACACAATAAAGTCTACAGATTTAAATAATAAAAAAATGAAGCGTCTGTTTACGACGATTTTTTATAAAACAAAATATTCAGGAATAACGCTAAATATTGACTGAACACAATAAAGTCTATAGATTTAAATAATGAAAAAATGAAGCGTCGGTTTACAGTTTTGTGACCAAAAAAATATTCAGGAATAACGCTAAATATCATTGAACACAATAAAGTCTGCAGATTTAAATAATAAATAAATGAAGCGACGGTTTACGGTTTTGTGACCAAAAAAATATTCCGGAATAACGCTAAATATTACTGAACACAATAATAATAAAAATCGAAAAATTTATGAAATAAATAATAATAATAAATCTATGAAATTTGTATTATTTATGAAATATTGATCAAGTAGAACAGATCAATGCAATTTCCTCCGACCTATAGTAACAATTGTATCGTCTTTCTTTTATCTATGCAAATTAATTGCAAGCTGAACGAAGGTGACCGCTGTTTATCAGACGATTTCAAACAGTAATGAACATATAATTATCATATAATACAATTAAATTGATTATACAATAATAGATATATGTATACACGAAAATTTAATAATATAAAACTTTCACGTATATATTATTAAATATTTATATCCGGGAGATAGAATAGGTAGTATAATACAATTAAATTTATTATATAATAATAGATATACGCATACACGAAAATTTAATAATATAACTTTCACGTATATATTATTAAATATTTATATCCGGGAGATAGAATAGGTAGTATAATACAATTAAATTTATTATATAATAATAGATATATGTATACACGAAAATTTAATAATATAACTTTCATGTATACATATATTATTAAATATTTATATCCGAGAGGTAGAATACGTTAATATAATACAATTAAATTTATTATATAATAATAGAATATGCATACACGAAAATTTAATAATATAACTTTCACGTATACATATATTATTAAATATTTATATCCGGGAGGTAAAATAGGTTAATATAATACAATTAAATTTATTATATAATAATAGATATATGCATACACGAAAATTCAATAATATAACTTTTATATATTATTAAATATTTATATCAGCGAGGTAGAAAATGCGCGCGCGTTCGAAAGATTAAGTATAGGTTAAGTAAACCTGTGAGAACGTAAGATTCAGAAATCGATATCCTCCGTGTTTTTTTACTCGCGTTTCAACGAGCTTAGAATCGGTTTCCGGTTTTCCGGCAATGTTTTTATAGGTGCTTTGTGCGATCTAGAAAACGCGTTTCGAAGAATCGTGGAAATTGCGTGTGTATGTAACGGAGAAACAAAAGAGACTGACCTTTCTGGTTCGAAGAAGGGCGACGATGGTGAAAAGGTTGCCGGGGATCCCGACGAGCATGAAAAGCACGCAGCACCCGGCGGCGAAGTGTAACAACCATCGCGGATACCCGACGAAGAGGACCACCGATCCTGGATCCTGTAGGACCTCCTCGAGGGCCTCTGCTCTGCCATTGCGACCGGTATCGTTGCCCGCCATCCAGTACTCCATCTGCAGACAGCATGCTAGACAGTTATCGCCTCGCGCAGGGCCGTAAAACTCGGCGGCTCGTTTTCCGATAAATCCCGGCGAATTTATTTTTCTCCCATTTCCGTCCACAAACTCGCGCGCGCTCGACGATCAACGGACTCCGGATTTTATGCGTTTAGAAGATAATTTGAGCAGGTGTAATTTCAAACGATCGAACTGTTCGAAGAGTTCGAGTACATTCGTGTGCGTGTGTGTTATTACCAATTGGATGCAAAATGATAATTTATAATGTAGATTATTATGATATGATAATGGTATAATGTAATGTAATTGTAATGTTATATTATAAATTTATAATATAATGTAGTATAAGTGTAATGTTATAAATTTTTATAATATAATACAGTATAAGTATTATATTATAATTACATTATATTATAAATTTATAATATAATGTAATATAAGTGTAATATTATAAATTTATAATATAATACAATATAAATGTAATATTATATTATAATTATATTGTATTATAAATTTATAATGTAATATAATATAATTATAATATAATACTTACATTATATTACACATTATAAATTTATAATGAAAATGATAATTTATAATATAAATTATTATGATATATTAATAATATAATATAATATAATATAATATAATATAAATATAAAATTATATTATGAATTTATAATAAGTATATATAAATATACTTATATTATATTATATTATAAATTTGTAATATTAATAACTATTAGTTATACATCGTTCACGGGGCGAATAAAAATGTTTCAATTCCAACTGAAATGTGTACGTTGCGCGCGCGACCTTATCGATGAAAGTTCGGGACGCCGGATCTCGCGAACGACCGACTTCCGGTCGGAACAACTCGGTCCCAGTGGAGTTCGCACCTGGACGACAACCGGCAACGGTTTACGTAGTTTCGCATAAACGCGTTCTTTGAGCAGCATCGTCCGTGAGACCTAAAAATCTTGGTGTTCGCGGTCGTCGTGGAACGCGACCGCCCAAAACACAAGATAGAATCGTCCGGTAAACTTTACTCCCGGTTGAAAGAGTTTATCGTCTCGAGCGGCGAAAATAGATCTCTCTCTTCCCTTTCAACGTCCCGCGCGCGGGAAAAAGAAAAGAAGTTCCGCCCGTGCATTTTCTCGGCGCGCGAGAAACAAGAGAGCTCTTAGGTCGAGCATTATGGCGAAGAGAAAAGAAAAACGGACGAACGGAAACGGGCCGTCTGAAATCGAAAGCGCGCCATTTCTCGCGCGACGATGCAGCCGTTTCTTTCTCAGCTGCGTTCGACGAGTATATTCGTCGCGGAGAAGCGGCGGTATTTTGTGTCACGACGAGTATACTCGTCACGGAGAAATTGCAGTATTTTGTGTCGCGACGAGTATACTCGTCACGGAGAAGCCACGATATTTTGTGTCGCGACGAGTATATTCGTCACGGAGAAATTGCAATATTTTGTGTCGCGACGAGTATACTCGTCACGGAGAAGCCACGATATTTTGTGTCGCGACGAGTATATTCGTCACGGAGAAATTGCAATATTTTGTGTCGCGACGAGTATACTCGTCGCGGAAAAATTGCAGTATTTTGTGTCGCGACGAGTATACTCGTCACGGATAAATTGCAGTCTTTTGTGTCGCGACGAGTATACTCGTCACGGAGAAATTGCAGTATTTTGTGTCACGACGAGTATACTCATCGCGAAAATATTGTATCAAAAAGAAACATCTGAATTTAATAGCATCAAAATTAAACATGCAGAACGTCTTGAAATTGTTTTCGCTAAAATTGCAATTTGAATTGCCAGCCAACTTCTTCGCGACGAGTATACTCGTCGTGCACAGCGAGCCGGTTAAAATAATGCGCGAGAATGAAAATAACGTAAATGGAAAACAACGTCGCGTTGTTCCACGGTAAAAGGGGACCACGAGCGTCGTCGAACTATTTGTTGCGATAATGTCTCGGTGTTCGAGGTGAAAAACCTCGGCCAATGTAAACGCGCGAAAAGCACGTTTTATCGGCGATGTCACTCGTTGGCCCGGTGCTCTGTCGTCAGCACAATCCAACCATTCACACGGATCCTTACCTAGAATAGAATAGAAGGGCACTTACCTTCGTGACAAGCAAAGGCTGTCGTCGGTCCTGGTCTCATTGATGCGAATCATTTATGGCACGTCATCGCACGAGCACTCGCAATCTCTGTTTGATACATTTAGATCGCTCCTCGCGAGCATTTACAACGCATCAACGCACCATTTCAGCCACGGAGTCGTCTCTTCTTCATACCGGTTCGCGAAACCAAATCGGCGTCGGCGAGTTATTTCGACGATCCTCTTTTAATTGCAAGCGCCTCCGTTATGCGAGCATCGTGTCGTCCCTGCGATGCATTTCAATTTTTTGGAAAATGATCCGGGCGATCGGCCGCTGGACCATTCGAATTTGTAGAAATTGCGAAGTCTTTCATCAAGCGTTACGTTACTTCTTTTATTTTTATTTTATTTTGTTCTTCGATCTTATTTCGTTGTTCGATTCTATTTTATTCTTCTACTTTATTTTATTCTTCTATTTTATTTTATTCTTCGATTCTATTTTATTCTTCTATTTTATTTTATTCTTCTATTTTATTTTATTCTTCGATTCTATTTTATTCTTCTATTTTATTTTATTCTTCTATTTTATTTTATTCTTCGATTCTATTTTATTCTTCTATTTTATTTTATTCTTCTATTTTATTTTATTCTTCTATTTTATTTTATTCTTCGATTCTATTTTATTCTTCTATTTTATTTTGTTCTTCGATTCTATTTTATTCTTCGATTCTATTTTATTCTTCTATTTTATTAGACGTTCGCGATTCATTGTATACAAAGTAAACAAAAATGTTTGCACTATGTTTACGCTATTAAAAAATACTTTACGGTTAAAAGACTATGGTTTTCTATGGTAATTACACTGTTGAACGCTAACTTTGACTTTTGTTACACCATTACAGACGGTAATTGCCGAGTTCGTTCGACGTAACATCTTCATGAACGTACCTTGTACTTGCACTTTCAAGTTACCAAGTTACTATTGCAGTTGCTATGATTTAATATTGTAGTTACTATGACTTTATTCGGATTAATTTTATTACAATTTTATTTGAATTAAGAGTTTCGCATAACTACTGCATAACACTGAAGAATCCAATGGTTTCGTTAACACTGGATTTTACTATTTATTTATATATTTATTTACTTAGTCATTTATTTATTTATTCATTCATTCATTTATACATTTATTTATTTATTCAATCATCAAGTCTCCCATCGGTTATAAAAATCCAAGAAAAGCAAAAAAGTATAAAAAGAAAGTATAAAAAATCCAAAGTTTAGATGTAACAAGATAACCGTAATTAAATTAAATTAGTATGATAAATCTCTCTATGGACTATAACAACGTAGCGAAATTATATTAAACAACGCGCCTTAAATTTCCTCGATCAAGCGGAATCGTCGCGAGGGACCGGCGCGAAACGTTACTCGCGTAATCCGCGAAACAAACTAAACCGATCCGGTAACTGGTCCGCCGAATTCGTTCGGACGGATCCGTTCTTTCGATCCTAATAGAGCGCAGGCGTGGGGTTAGCGTCCTTCACGGGCGAGGGGGAAGCCGCTGGTGAAATCTATTTTACCATTTTCAAGAAAACTTCGCTACTCCGCCCGCGACGGCCGAACACGCGCTGAACACGTTCGTTTCCGTTTGTTTGGCGATATATTTCACGCGCGGTAAATCGCGAGCGCGATACGTGCCTCGAAATCCGCGAACGAATTCGCCGTCGGTTATAGCTTTAACGACTGCGCCCGTGCAACGTGTTTTCGACGTTCCCGGAAAATTATTAGGCCGTATGAAATTCTGTGCGAAAACAATTCCTGTTCGCGCGCACGAGATTGCCGGCCGGAGTCATTTAACGCCTAATGTTTGTTCGCGTTGCGGTAATTCGCAGTTCTACAGTGGCGTCTCGATTATTCGAGATCGAAATTGACGGTCGAATTCGTTTTATTTTCGATCGATTGTCGCTCTTCTGTGGTTTCGCTGTTATTACTTCGGACGATAAAAAAACAATATAAATAATAAATATCGAGGAAAATGCAGTTCGGTTGACGTTTTGTTTCTTTCTAACTTTTTGTTTCTTTTTGCGGTTGTAATTTTTGTGACACCTTTCTTTTCCTTAAGTCAGCCGTGTTCGACGAGTATACTCGTCGCGAAGAAGCGGCGGTATTTTGTGTCACAACGAGTATACTCGTCACGGAGAAATTGCAGTATTTTGTATCGAGACGAATATACTCGTCATAGAGATATGGCAGTATTTTATGACGCGACGAGTATACTCGTCATAGAGATATGGCATGATTTTGTGTCAGGACGAATATACTCGTCATGAAGAAATGACAGCATTTTGTATCAGGACGAGTATACTCGCCATGAAGAAATGAAAGCATTTTGTATCAGGACGAATATACTCGTCATGAAGAAATGAAAACATTTTGTGACAGGACGAGTATACTTGTCATGGAGAAGTGACAGTATTTTGTGTCCCGACGAGTATACTCGTCATAGAGATATGGCAGTATTTTGTGTCGCGACGAGTATACTCGTCATAGAGATATGGCAGTATTTTGTGTCAGTACGAGTATACTCGTCAAGAAGCAATGACAGCATTTTGTATCAGGACGAGTATACTCGTCATGAAGAAATGAAAGCATTTTGTGTCAGGACGAGTATACTCGTCATGGAGAAGTGACAATATTTCATGTTCCGACGAGTATACTCGTCGTGGAGAAGTGGTATTTTTTTGTGTCCCGACGAGTATACTCGTCATGGAGAAGTGGCAGTATTTTGTGTCAGGACGAGTATACTCGTCATGGAGAAGTGGCAGTATTTTGTGTCAGGACGAGTATACTCGTCATAGAGAAGTAGCAGTATTTTGTGTCAGGACGAGTATACTCGTCATGAAGAAATGACAGCATTTTGTATCAGGACGAGTATACTCGTCATGAAGAAATGAAAGCATTTTGTGGCGACCATTGGCTACTTAAATTGTAATTTTAGTGAAAACGAAAACGTATTCTCAAATTTCAAGACGTTTAGAATATTATATATTTATATATATTAAAATATTATTTAGAATATCATTTAGAATATTTAGAATATTCCGTCTGACTTGTAGAATATTCATCTGTCCGCAGATACGTATTACAAAAAAAAAAACAAAGATGTCCAACAAACGGAACGAACTTACGACTCGACCGAAATTCCCTGTTCAGATCGAAAGATCGCGTTAAATAACGTCGAGCGTATTTTCGCCGCGCCTTTTATTGTTATCATCCGCGAACACCGTGCCGATGTTTATGACAAAGATAGCAGCGTCCTATCTTTGGTCACCGCCCTCGCTGAGAGGCGGCGTCGTCGTCGGAATCGGAGAGAGAGACGCGTGCTCTTATTGCCGAGATTTCTTCGTAAATTGGGCCGGTCTATTAACATTAACAGAACCCGAGGGCGGCGGGACATTAACGGCGGAATCCGTTAACTCGTCCGACGGCCAACGTCTCGAGATTTCGCGGGGGCGTCGATGAAACACGCTGGCCAAGTCTCTTCGCGGGCACGCGATCGCTTTGTAGATTTATTCGTAGACAAACGCGGGGAAAAACGAGATCTTCGATTTCTCACTTCGCGACCGTTGCGAAGCGATTCGCGGCGCGCCGTTTCACGGGGAAAATCGATTTGGTTTACCTGCGCAGCGTAAATATTGGGTTGGCAACTAAGTAATTGCCAATTTATTCAATGAAATAGAAAATTTTTTTTACTTGGAACGAAGTTTAATCTGTAATGTATTTTCCATTTTGTTCGACGACCTTTTGCCATCTCTCTGACAACTTGAAAATTCCACGCTCGTAGAAAGTCTGATCCTTTTTGGCCAAAAACTGAGTTTAGTGAGATTTTACAGCGTCATCATCGTTAAAAGTTTTACCACGAAGGGAGTTGTCCAGGCATCGAAATAAGTGGTAATCCGATGGCGCGAGATCAGGGCTATATGCTGGGTGTAACATCAATTCCCAACCAATATCCATCAATTTTTGCCGAGTGGACAAAGACGTGTGCGGCCTAGCATTGTCCTGCTGGAAAATGACACCTTCACGATTGACCAATTCTGGTCGCTTTTCCTTGACCGCTGCATTCAATTTGTCCAGTTGCTAACATTCACGGATAATAAAAAATAACATAATAATAATAATAATAATTTTATAATATAACATTTACGGATATCATAGAAATGAGAGTGAGAGACATCTATAACTGAATTATATAGTATATTATATTAACAGTAATTATAATATATATAGAATATAATTATAGTAATAATATATATAGTAATAATAATATATTTATAGTAAATTATATTATATTATAGTATATTATATATTATATTAACATCAATTACTTAGTTGCCAACCCAATAGATCCATCGTCGAAGTCGGTGTCGTGAGCCAGAAAACGTTTTCTCGCGCGTAACGCGCGAGAAAATCAACGCAGTTATCGACCCGCGCCGGCCGTGTGCGAAGATAAAACCGATTTATTGCTCGGCAATTCGGCGATCGTTTATTGCCGGACACGGTAATTAACGTTTAATTAAGGCGAACCCCGCTCCAAGACATCTTATGTGAGATTCAATTGTTACGATACATTCAAGCTTTTTGCAATCTCTCGTACAGTTCTGTGACGATTCGATTCAATTATGGCTTTGATTTTGTCGTCATCGACTACCGAAGGTCATCTTTAAGTGAAAAATTTTCAGACTGAGATTTTCTTCAGAACGCCATAAACTTCCCATATCTCTTTGTGAACCTCGGCCGCTTTCTTGCCTTTATAAGAATGTTCATTTGCGTCGAAAATGTCAATTTTTTTGCATTCCATGTTAAAATTGACACAGTAAACTATAAGTTGTAAACAAAACTACACGGAATTTGTTTCTATAGCAATCTAAACGTGTCAACTATCAAAGCTGAAGACAAGTAAAAATTATAACCTTAACAAAAGAACGACAACGCGAACATAACGCTATCTATCGTTGCAAACCGAAATTACTTTCTTGCCAACCCAATAGAAAGTGAAAATTTACCATTGGAAATATTGCTTCAATTATTTTATATTCTACAAATCCTAGTAACAAATATAATAAATATAATATAAAATATAATAAAATAATATTATTAATTATTATTAATATTATTATTAAAATATTAATATAATAAAATATATAAAATATAATATAATATAACAAATCCTAGTAATCCATTCAATTTGTTCAATGTATTACGATAAAAATGAATTTCGAAAGCCTAGTTAAAAAATTAGTGTCACCCATACGTGACAACTGAACGTATTAATCGTATCTCCTCTTCCCAAATCGTCCATTTTTGTTTCCAAGCTGAGTATCTATGCTGTATCCGAGCGTCAACTGAAAAGACTTCAATGTAGATCGTTGTCCATACTAACGTATTTCCTGGGTGTCAAAGATTATACAGGGTGTCCCGAAAATGTCACGGAAATAAGATGTTCCTGACGTCATTTGAAGCAACTTTCTCCTTCGCGAAAATTTTCTCCGAGACTTCGTTTACGAGTTATCAACAAAAAACACTGACCAATGAGAGGCGAGCTCGGCTGGCGCGCGGCGGCCCAGCCAACGAGTGCACGGAGCCCGGTTCCGCTCATTGGCTCGGCTGTCTCGCGCCAAATGATCTCGCCTCTGATTGGTCACTGTTTCGAATTGCGAGACATTTTTGGGATATATAGTATAATATTATATTATATTATATATATAATATATAATAAATATATTATACTATATTATAGTATATATAGTATACTATATTATACTATAATACTATAATACTATAAAATATAGATATTTCGATTCGCGTTGTCCACTGCTCGCATCACTGTGCGTCGCCTCGTCTGGCCCAAAGGTTCGGTGACGTAGGTGTGCACGGCGACTGCTTGCGCGGAGGGAGAATGATTTATAGAAACGCGGATCGACCTAATTCTCGATGCTCGCCCTGGAAGCACCTACGCTCCGCTCCGGACCGCGCGCGTTCCGTTCGCTGAAATCCCGACGGTCCCTACATCCTTTTTAAAAATAATTACGTTCGGTTACCAGGGTACGCCGAGGCCGTGTGGGGGAGTGAACCAGCTGGGTACGAGCGGTCCACAACGGAAGGAGTACACACCGTCCGCCCCTAATAAATCGGAAGCGGCACCGATCCACACGCGTTTGCTTTTTTTTCTCTCCTTTCTCTTGTTCGCCAGCCTTCTTCGCAAGAAGGAAACGCCATTTACGCGGCCGCCTCGCCGATTGGTGGACACGATTAATTAAAAACGGCGTGGGGGAGAGCTAAATCGTCTAGCTCGGGGGTGGCTGGCCCCGTAAGATACACGGTGGCTCGCAACCGAGTGTTGCAACAATCTTTTAACTATTTCATTCTAAATTATTATTTCTAGCAATTATATATTTATAATTATTTATATATATTATATATTATATTATATTATAATATAATATATTATTTAATATATATAATATTATAATATAATATAATATATAATATATATATATAATTATTTATAATAATTATTATCTTTTGGCAGACAGATTTTTAAGAAATTGTAAAGAATCAACAAATAATAAATATCACTAATATAGACTAATTAATATTAATATTAAGAATTTAAGAATTAATAAATAATATAAAATAGAAGAAACTCTGTCGAATATCGCTAACATTTTTCGATTGTGTTTCATTACTGATTCCATGTACAATTGATATTGTTGTACGAAGACGTCGAACGTGGATTAAAATGGAAGACAAATATTATAACGAATTGAATATAAACGCTGGAAAAATTCGAAATTGTCGTATCACTGAAAAAAAACGATCGAATTCCCTTGTTCCAGAAAGCGCTGAATCGTTCCGTAACTGTATAATAATTTGATCTTCCCTCTCTCTTCGATCGTGAGTCAGTTTCGTAGAAATTCCCGGTTCGAATTTTTCTGATCGGCGATCGTCGGAGAGCACACGATTGGACGACAGTCCTCTGTCATCGCGAAAGTGTTGTCGGTCTCCGGTTGTTCGTTCGGTTCACATATATTGCCCTAGATTAAGCCTAGAGTTACACCCCCATCACTAATAAAAAGTAAACGTTCGACGATTTATCGTCGAGGGGCCGTTTACCCGGTCCCCTTTCTATAAAAACTTCGACCTGAATCGTTAAACTGGACGGCTGTAATCGTTAAATCGACCAAAACAAACTCTGAAAATCAGTTTTCGGAGGAAACATCGTTCGATCGATGGTTCTGTTAATCGAGATAATTCGGTTTAATTAAACTCCGACGACGATACAAACGCTTATATCCGTATTAATAGCATTTTCACGTCGGATTTCACCGACGTGTAAATGTTACAAGGTGCTTGCGCAAACATTTCTTAACGATTCTTACTAATACGTTGCAGATAATAAGTAATCGTTTAGAATCGCGTCGATTACACAGCATTTTATCTGACTTCATCGATACGTTCGTCTTCGATTTCAATTGCGTTGCCTGGTGTTCGACGATTTATGTAATTGTAACGGACGCTTAAACGCTTAAATACTTAAAAAATATTTTAACAAAATATTCAGCGTACAAATATTTATCGAGAGAAAATGTTTCATTGAAATTCGATTCCAAGCGTTAATTGGTTCGGTCGGTGTATAATGAAAATTCTATTCGCGTCAAGTTTTCTTCAAAATAGTTTTATGTTGATTTTATTATGAAATCGGCGACAGTCGCACATATTAATGGGTTCTTGGAAGTGATTAATCTAGCGCTTTGATCTTCCTCAGATTAATATAGCCTTGGTTCGTGGTGCCCGGATGCGGGTTTCACAGAAACATACATATATATTCATCGAAAGACATACACACACACACACATGCGGACGATTTACCTGAAATATGAGTGAATCATTCGGAGAGATTGGCCAACTTTTGTACTCAGAAATTTTTATGGGAAAAGCGAAGATCTTATTATGTTGTTTCTATTATATTAATAATTAGATTTCTATTATATTAATATATTATATTAATAATCCCTCCGGAAATGAATCGTTGAAAATTAATGGAAAACCAATAATAAGCAGAGTGACACATTGGCTGCGGATTTTCTTATCATTAAACTGCGGATAATTATTAATATAATATAATTAATTGATATAGTTATGAATATAATATATATAATTAATTTATATGATCATTAATATAATATAATTAATTTATATAATTATTAACATAATATAATTAATTTTTATGATCATTAATATGATATTAATAGTTATCTAAATTAATTATATTATATATATATAATATATAATAATATAATAATAAAATATTAATATAAATATAAAATATATATATATATATAATTGTCTCGATATTGCAGCATTTTTGAAGTTGCCGGATCGACAGTAAAAGCGTTGCCAAACAAAACATCGTATCTGTACATTTTAATATCAGAAATCATAGAAAATAGAAATATACAAATACGTTATTTTGTTAAGTCTTCGTTCACACATCAGTGACAATGTACAAGTTACATTGCGTCTATAATTATTCGCACCACGTAAAAGTCGCCTATTCGAACGCTTCGGACCGAATCGGCCGGATCAGCAGCCGCCCTGATCAGTTAGTCGGCGTGCCGGCGCGACAGGGGCCGCGGAGAAATGCATAAATGATCGCTGCGTCGTTGTCGATACGCGGTTTCTGTCGCAGCGCGGCCGGGCTTCCCGATTCCGTCAAAAACTGACGCAAGAGACCCGGCAGAGCTCTGCTCACAAACTCGCTACTACTCGCCGTACTCCACCGCGTTCCTCGTCATTCGCCCCGAGCCCGTCCCCCTCCCCCGCGCCGCGTGGTCTACTGGGCCCGTATCTATCGCGGCGGCCAGTCCATTCGCGGTGACGGTGACGGACAGATCGTTGTTACTCGTCTACTCCGGGTCACGTTCCGCGATCCCTCCGCCGACGATCGATCGCCGTCCGTGGATCCTCGTCCTTTCCGACGTCACCGGAACCCGCCACTCACAATACACGCCACCATCTTTTTCAATCACTGCCGCCCGGTGTCGTCCCACCGCTCCCTATTGTCTATAAAGGATCGCGAGGCGGAAACTCGTCGCCCAGTGACTCGAGCGCAGCAAGGACAAGGCCCAGTTTTCGGGCCAGCCGTGAAATTCTTCGTTTCGCGCGTCGATGGTGCTGTAAGAAAAAGAGAAAGAGAGAGAGATATATAAATTGGATCGACGGATCGGGAGAGCAAGTTTCGCGGGAAATAGTGCGACAGTTGGATCCGGCAGTTTCGGTTTTGCCGCGCCGCCGCGATCTCGCCGACTGGGTGCCGGACGTGGCCGCGGTGTTGCGCATGATCGCCGATCGCTATGACGGATGAGTCGTGAAAGGAATTAACACGGTGAGTCAGCCGCGAATGTTTGTTTCCTTGTCGGTTCCGTGAACGTTTTAATCATTCATGTCGGCATCGTCTCGGGATCAACTGCTTCCGCAAGATCTTTCCTCGAAGCCGGAAGCAAGGAAAAATTGTCTACGACGATTGCGAGCATAAATGCGGTTAGGTTAGAGCGGAGACAGTTTCGTTTTGGTCCTTCGTCCGTTGACAACCGCGTGCGCGGGCGATCGTTCCGATTCCTTCGGACCTTTCCACCGTTTTTGGGACGAACTGGAAGGCTAGCCGCAAGGTCGACTATTTTATTTCTTCTTGTTTTTACGGCTTTGTTCGGCTCGCGGTTCACCGTGCTATGTAATCAATTATTTGATATGGGTGTCCCAAAAATGTCTCGCAATCCGGAAATGGCAGGTTCCTCGGATCATTTGAAGCAACTTCTTCCTTTACAAAAATGTTCTCCGAGGCGCCGTTAACGAGTTATTAACGAACAAACAGTGACCAATAAGAATCGAGTACGGCTGACGCGAGGCGGCCCAGCCAACCAGCGTGCGAAGCCCAGTTCCGCTCGTTGGCTCGGTCGCCTCGCGCCAGCCGAGCTCGCCTCTCATTGGTCACTGTTTTTCGTTAATAACTCGTTAACGGTGCCGTGGAGAAAATTTTTGTAAAGAAAAAAGTTGCTTCGAATGACCCGAAGAACTCGCCACTTTCGGATTGCGAGACATTTTTGGGACACCCTGTAGAACGGTGAAGACCAATGGAGACTTTTTCTTTTATTTTGTCAAATTCATGGGAAACGCGAGCGACGCGATATTGAATTCTGCAAAATCAAGCCACGGCTTTTCCTGACGGTGCTTCCTGAGAAATAGATAGTATCCGCCGATTGTTTCGAGCAGCGTTACCCGGAAAATGTTCTTCCGCGTACTACATGTTTACTTTATATTTTTATTACATTGTTTCGATCATAGAAATTCTATGAATCGTTACTAATAATGTCGCCGATAACTATTCTCTGTACCTGACCGTCACGAAATTAAGATTTAAAAATGTTGCTACGGTATCTAACCGGTAATGGTAAAAAAATCAGCGCGAAAATCTTTTGACAAAGAAAAATTCTCTTCGGACAAATGATCTCCGCTAAATCCACCGCCGTTGGTCAAACGACCGGTTTCATATTTTTAATTTTATAAGTATCGAAGTCGTAAAACTTCTCGAATATATTTTTAAATTTATATATTTATTATTTATTATTTATATTATATATTTATAAATTCTCGAATATATTTCTTTACTTGGGCACAATCGTAAGAAAAAACTGGCGGATCGAATCACAAAACAGTGAAAATATTCAAGGAAATTAAAAACAACATTGCATTATTTTGAATATCACAAAGCAATCGAAGAAGAAAAGAAACGTCCTACGTAGGTTTTCTATCTTGCAAATGAGCCGTTTATTTTGAAAATGGCATAAGTCACTTTACCGTAATGAAAAGTGGTGATTTTTTAATGTTTATACGAAATTATTTATACTGAGAAAAATATCAGTATCCTGAGATAACAAATACAAGTAAATCTTCTCGAAAGTTAGCATCCATATTTTTAAACGTGTTAAAACGCAAACCCTTAAATATATCGACTTAAAAACAAAGTGACTTATGCCACTTTCAAAATAAACGGCTCAAATAATGTAGACAAGTTTTTATTTTGCAATTTTTGCAATATTTCACCATTTTTGTCAGTCGCTTTTTTAGACCTCGGTAGGTTTAAAGAGCATCGGTTTAAATAAATAAATATAATCGATTATAAATAAATTAAATATAACCGATTAAATAAATAAATATAATCGATTAAATAAATTAAATATAATCGACTGTTCAACGTAAACCGGTCGTTCGGATATCCCCAAAAAATTGTGCTTAAATTTCGAAGTAAAGAACAATTCATTCGTTCGGAAACAATAACTGTTGCCCAAGCTCGAACGAAGGGAATTGGCCCTGCGGCGCATGAGCCTTTCGAGGACCAATGCGAAGATCCCGGCGAAAAAAAAACCCCGCGTACATGCCTCGTGTGACGATGAACGTGACGGTGACAAAAAATGGTCACGACAAAACGAAACGCGAATGACATCCGTACAACTGCGTTCTCGCGCCTCTCTCGCTCGCTGTTGTTCGCATCTGTCACCGCTCTCTCGCTCCCTCTGTCCAACCGCGGCGATAATTTTGCATGCCAGCGGAGCGAGAGAGCGAGCCTGGCCACGTGGTCTCGTGGTCTCGTAGGCGGGATTTCGGACCCAGAGATCCTGGAACACATGGCGATACGATGCTTGCGCAACGCGCCGGCCGATTAACCCGTCAACCGGTCGATATTCAATTAGAAATGTACGGGGTGTCGATGAAAAGTCAATTGCACCAATTGTGACAATTTAAGAAAAATCGACCTCTAAGTGCGCTACACAGTTGACGAAGCTCGAGTACGTTAGAATAAAATCTAACGAAGAATTCTTTTTTCAAATGAAGAATTTCAAATCCTCGAATGATTGCAGTCGCTTGTAAATAATACTGCAGATGTGTCCTTGAATTATTTTAATATTAAAAAGAACGAATGAAATATCAACGAATATCGAACGAATAAATTCCGTCGTCTACAGGGGGTCCCAAAAATGTCTCGCAATCCGGAAATGGCGGGTTCCTCGGATTATTTGAAGCAACTTCTTCCTTTACAAAAATGTTCTCCGAGGCACCGTTAATGAGTTATTAACGAAAAACCAGTGACCAATAAGAATCGAGTACGGCTGACGCGAGGCGGTCCAGCCAACCAGCGCACGAAGCCCGGTTCCGCTCATTGACTCGGTTGCCTCGCGCCAGCCGAGCTCGCCTCTCATTGGTCACTGTTTTTCGTTGATAACTCGTTAACGGTGCCTCGGAGAACATTTTTGTAAAGGAAAAAGTTGTTTCGAATGACCCGAGGAACCCGCCACTTTCGGATTGCGAGACATTTTTGGGACACCCTGTATTTATTCACCATGATGCGTCAGAATTAAGCCGATCGTCGCGAGCCAGCTGGATTGAAAGAGAAAAATAATCAGCGAATATGCATCGTAGATTAAATATTGTAGATCATCGGTTCGCGTATAGTTTGTAAAAAAATCGGTTTTATTCGCATCGAACTCCTCGGGAGATTTATCCTTCGTCTGCTCATTTCCATAAGTCCGGTTTATTCGCGCGAGTCCACGACGGAGTATTTATAGCGACGGCAAGGCAAACAAACGTTTGTTTGCATTGCATTTTGATTAATCTTCTAGCTACCTCCACGGCCAGAATATGTTGTAGTTGTTAGACTCGACTCGTGCTTGTGTATTCTCAACGCGCCCGATTCACTATGGCTATTGGCATACTAAAAGTTCATCAATAGGCGCCTCGTTGAAAAGACGAGTCTGAAAGACTTACGCTAATTTAACCGTTTGCACTCGAGCGGCGACTCTGAGGCGACGCTAAAAATTGCTATACTATTTCCAAAAGAATTTCCACGTTATTAAAATTTTGATACATTGTCAAATAATAGAAGTAATAACTTATATAATAATAGAAGTATAATAACTATATATTATATAATAATATATATAATATATAATTATATAATAATTATATAATAATATATATAATATATAATTATATAATAATTATATAATAATATATATAATATATAATTATATAATAATTATATAATAATATATATAATATATAATTATATAATAATATATATAATATATAATTATATAATAATATATATTATATAATAATAGAAGTATAATATTTAAATTCTATTTCATACGTATCGAATAAAAGCAATCATACCGAATGGAAATACTGTAGGTTAAAACAAACGCATTCATTCTCGCGTTAAAATAGTCTCGAGTGCAAAGGGTTAATACGTACGATCCATGCGTATCGGTAAGATAAAAAATAAATTTTAATAAAAATTGACCCTTTGCGCTCGAGCATACAATTCTTATTAGTATATTATTATTATTATTATTATTATTATTATTATTATTATTATTATTATTATTATTATATTACGCTAAAAATGGTTATATCGCGTTTTTATTTTCATATTTTATTTTATTTACTTATTGGACAGTCTACAGAGCCGTATTGTACAATACAAATAAATAAAAAAATAACAATCGAACATACAAAACTAGAATAACTAGAATAACGAACGTTTGACTCGAGTACTCGTTTACAATAAAATGTTAATCTTCGATTAGGTCACGTTGCTGTTTCAAAATCATTTTGTCATTAGCAAATTTATTTATATTTAAAACACTGCTAAAATTGCGGTCGCAAGACTCGATTTCATATGCATAAAATGGAAATATCGCGAGTTCGAAAAATTATTTTAGATTTACAGTTAAAACGGCCTCGAGTGCCAAAGGTTAAGACGTGCAGAGATCAAAATGCAAATGAAAATTTATTTGAAAGAGACAGGAGATCGTAGTAGACGCGCATTTATGTACAGTGAAGAAGATGAACCGTCGACGATCATCGACGATTAAACGACACTCCACCGCGGTGAACGCATGATTTACGGCATTGTGCTTCGTGTCAAGACCAATATGAATTTCATGCATATTTTCCACGGCATCTGTACGCTCCGGCGTGCACCGGCTAATTAAAGGCAATCTAGAATTCTCGGAAATTAGCGTGAATCTTCCAACCGCAATGAGCATTTGTTCCATTTCCGAAGGTACGCTTCGTTAAACTTGAACACATTAACCCTTCGCGTTCTTGCGTCATAGTTCGTTAGAAAGTAAAAAAAGTTCCGTTCGCAATTTAGAAACGTTCTCGCTGAATAAACTGTTAATTATTGAGACTAGGGTAAGCGTGGGCGTTACTGCGGACGTCCCAAATACTGCGGTATTTTGTAAAAGTAATAAAATCTAACATTTTATAGTGTATAATCTTCTAAAAATGAATCTCGTCATTTTGACACGCAGTAATCGGAACATCCGCAGTATTTGGCTCGCAGTAATAGATACATAACTGCCCCAAATACTGCGATATTTTGTAAAAGTAATAAAATCTAACATTTTATAGTGTATAATCTTTTAAAAATGAATCTCGTCATTTTGACACGCAGTAATCGGAACATCCGCAGTATTTGGCTCGCAGTAATAGATACATAACCGCAGTAATACGATATGCACACGTATGGTTTCTTTACATTACGTTTTTTAATGAAATGTGTGCTTTCAGAAATCCAATATTTTGAGAAAAGTAAACATTCAAGTTAAAGAATAATAATAATTGTCAATTTATTGGCGCAAAACGCGTCAAAGTTCGCCTTCATTGAAAAATCGCAGTAATACCAAGACTTACCCTGTTTCCAACCTACGGCCATGAGACGAGCAGAGGCATGCGAAGAGTCCCCGGGGCGCCGTTAATTTGGGAATCGACACTTGCAAGTTCATGGTCCGGGTCTAGAATTTAACGGGTCCCGCATGTTTACGGCGGGGTCCCTTTCCGTTCGGACGGCTCGAAAAGACAGCGACAGTCGCATAGGAATGCACAAATGTTCACGATCATAAATAACCGGATTGTCTGGGCCCAAGGTGACTCGTCACGCCACCCGTAAATCTACGGAACAATGACCGTATTACCTGTGCCATAAATCCAGTCCACGAGGCTAGGATAGATTGTCGAGCAGATGGAGCCAAGCTGCAAATAATATGAGAAAAATCACGAGAGTTTCGCAACATTTCCATCGAACTCTCGTCGATGTCCGTGCAATAAAAGTAAACTAGAAAATATTTTGAGCGGTGAACAATCCAAAATCAAGTGATATGCGATAAATAAATCTAAATGCATTAAACAAAATTGAATCTGTTAAATAACGCTGTAAATATTTGACGCATTTTCTATATCAATATATTTGTTTCTGTAACAATCTTCACGGGTACATGTCTAATAGTATTAAAAAGTGTGAAAAGAATGTGTTAAAAAGTAACTAACCGGAAGCCACATTTTGTATTCCTCGATATTAAAACTATTTTCGTTTATTACTTGTTTAAAATATTTATATAAAATATTTTCAACGTGTATATAACTTACCGAGATCTACGAGAGGTATTTTTTAAATATTACAGTTACAGGCTCCGATAAAACAGTTGAAAGACGCGAGCTTTTTATTCCTTTCTCTCATTCCGAGTAATAGCAAAATTAAAAAATAAGCATTTCGGTCATCGTTTAGTAGACTAGTCCCGCTATCATCTAAAAAGAAATTGAAGTCTCTTAATTCAGTTTTTAAAAAGTTATTGCGTTTTACAAGGTGTACGCCCAATTTTGTGAGTAACTGTACCAGTGTTCCATAGTAACGTCGCAGAGTTAGACGACCGCCGTTTCCCAACGGACGGAAAAATCGTTCGTTTCCTGAAAAAAAACCGTGAAAACGGTCTCCCACGTGGACGCCGTTGGCCGAGGTCAAGATCGATCGTCGTCCGATGATTTTTCGTGGCAGCTTGCGAACGGTCACGGGCCGATATCGGTCGAGGAGCAGCAGCAGCACTGTTTACCCGGCTCCGTACGCGTAGGCGTGCTTTTCTCCTGCACGTGCGCGGCTCGTCCACGTGTTGCAGGCACGGGGAACACGAGAGCGAGGCCGTAAATTTCAACGCGCATTCTTTATTGCTACTTCAGCGGCATTAAAACGCTGAGGATACAATTCGTATCGGTAACGACCCGTTATCGTCGCTCGAACCTGCACTCGACACGGTCTCTCCTCGTATTTACAACGATTCCTCGACCTCGGACCCGTTCGCCGCGCGCTATCGTCTACCAGAGCGCCCTGATCCCTTCTAATTCAATATTTTTCTCTTCGGGGTGTAAATATTTCCTTAAGTCGACGAAACGTCTCCCTCGTCCTGCCTTGGAAGCTCCGCGGCACGTTCGGTCCTCCTCGGGTCGACGAACTCGGTGCATACGGTGCACACGGTCCATCGTAGCATCCCCGGCAAACGCAGCGACCGAACGTGAGCAATCGAACGTGGAGATAGTGTGAACACCGTGTACGATGCGCCAACATGCAATCTTCTGTTTTCTTTCTTGCTGCATGATCGAAAACCAACCTGAAACTTCCATATTTCTTAACCAAAGATTCGCGCATCTCCAAAGGTATAATCAAATATTGTTAATAAAAATTTTAGCTACGTAAAAGCGTTTCAAGCCGTTGTACATATTCTGTTCTCGTTCTAGGGTGATTGTAGGTATTAATGCGGTTCCTCAATGAAGGCGAACCTCGACAGAGAAAATGCTAATAAATTGACAACCTCGGCTATGCTTATTATTCTCTATAATTTGAATAATATGTACAATATAATAATTCCTAGGATAATACTTACTAGGATCATTCTCACTGTAGCATTTTACAAATTAGGTATAGGCACCCCCACGATCACGTGTTCGCACCGGCCCATCGAGAACTGCACTGTATAGGTTAAGGTACGCAGTTCGGTAAAGCACCGCGGTAATGTACAGACATACTAAAAAATTATTGGCAAATGCTACGTTAGTAAACAATATATTTGAGGATAAATGACAGTAACAGTGTACGTCGTTTTTTTTATTTATATCAAAGTAACGATTACTTTGTCTAAAAATAATCGCTATACCCACACTTACCCTAGAGATTTTACACGAGATTTTTCTACACGTTTTACTTCTCTTTGTCGCGTATCAAATGTCTCTCGTTATTGCCGGTCGAACGATATCACCGGATATCTATGGTGTAATCCCCGCGCCTACAGTTCGCAGCGGCGCGACGACGCGACGACGTCACGCTTCCTGCAATCCTTTCACCGATCCCGCGCGCGCGCGCGATAGAAAAATGTCCGACATCGTTTCCATGAATGGAGAGCCGCGATCGTCGCGTCGTCGTCGCTCGTACAAAAAGCCAGGCGCGACGAGACCGTCGGCCGATTTGCATGATCGCGTTGCACGAGAGCGTGCCGATCGTCACGCCGCGCGGCTCTCGGCCACTTTCACCGTGAGTCAACTTGACTCATTCATTGCCATTCCCCGCGTGATTAACTCGGCAATCATTCGGTGATGTCAGACGATCGCGAAGGATTTCTGTGCTACCGACCGCGAACGTCGCGTTCCTTCGGTCTGTTTTTTTTTCTTTTTCTTTTGCAACGCGGTCGAGACCCGGTCTGCTCACCTTGATGACTGCATCGGCGGACGACGGTTTTTTTACGTCAAGCTGGAAGTTTGTCCTTTAATAATTTAATAAAGAATTTAACCTTTAATAACTTTAATAAATATACTATATATAATACTATACTATATATAATATATAATATACTATATATAATATATAACATTTATATATAACTTATATAATACATAACACTATATTTACCGAGATTCTTGCTAAATTAATTTTCTAATCATTACAGCGAAGATTGAGAAGTCCATCCTGTCTAAAGTCGATAAAGTCCTAGCATTTTATTTCTCATTAGTACTCGCCAAATTTGATGTATTCGAGATGCAACGAGTCACCAGTTTGGTTTACCGAAATGATCCGCAGGTGGTTCGTCCCTTGGCGTTTAGGTTCGACGATCTGACACATATGTACATACTCGGAATATTATAATGCTCGTCTTCTCGTTGCGGGAAACCATATTTATATAATTGGTTAATTATTCTAGCATGGACCAAGTGAACGATATTTATAAAACGAATAATATAATAAAATATGTAATAATAATATATATATATACATACATATATAATAATAATAATATAATAATATAGTAAACGAATAATTGGTACTACTACCCTAAACACATATATCAACATTGTTCGATTTATAATTTACAATATTAAAGTATCCAATTCAGAAACGAACAGATTTATCATACAGATCATAACTAAATTAAAACATTCAGGTTTCTTGCACCGTTGTGCGCAAGGATTGCTTAAAAAATCGTTGAAAGCGTAGCAGCACGATCCCCCGCCATGTTCTCTGTGTACAATGTTCTCACGAAGTTGAAAGGTTCGCCGAAAGGTGCCGTTAAAAATGTCGATTCTTCTCGATCTCGTTGTCGAGCGTAAAAACATCGTGCGTCGTCGAACAAACCGAAAAAGGTTTTAATTGGCTAACAGGATTACTGGCAGCCGTCCGAAATGAATACCAATTAATGGGAGCGGGGGGGCCCGTGATCGCATTTACACCGCCTAAATCGAGAGGGGAGGAACCTAATCGTGTTTCTAGTAGCGGTGAAATAAATTAGCATTGAAAGAGCATGATTCGGCCGGAGTGTTCCTTTTGTGGAGGTAACTAGAATAGAATTCGGTGAATCATCGATGGAAGTTCCGTCGTGTAAAGTGCCCGATGAAACAGAGAAGCGACGGAGAATGCTGCGGTAAAATAACGCTGCCGGTTTTATTTGGTCGTTCGTACATTTATCAATTGGATAGAAGACTTTATACGGCGCGGCGTCGTTTCTATTTGCCCGCCGTTGTACTTTCTATTGCAGGCGTCGCAGATGTTCGTTACGCGACGAAACTAGAGCACAATAGGATAAATTAATGTAATCTTATTTCTATGTTAAATACATAGATCGGTGTCGTTTAATTTCACTGTAATTTAACTTGATGTACTTAGAAAAATCGTTATTCGAATTTATATATTTATAGATCAATTCGTAGCGATTAAAATCAAAATATAATTAAATCGAGCGAAATTATTTTACAAATATTTTGCTATGTCCGACAAGAATACCAAAAAAAAAATCGCTAAATCGTTATAGAACATCGGAAAAATATGAAAATACTTTCCTACAGTTAAGTTTTAATTTAGCATTAATTGCATGAATCATCTTCCATAAATATATATATATACTATACTATATAAATTATGCACGTGTAAAATCGATGCAATCTAACCTGATTTAACAAACCTGGTGTCGAATATAAAGCGGCAACGAAGTGTATACAGTTTATTTTTGAAGAAAAGCGATGCGACAGAAGACCTGCATCATCGTAAAAGCGTCGTCGACGCTGCGTGAGGATGATAAGAAAAAACGTGTGAAGAGAGAGAGTATGGAATCGATCTTACAGACAGCAGTTCCACAGAGATAACAGAAACAGCTCTGGCGTGTGGAGCGGGGCGATAAAACCGCGGGAGGAGGACATCGGGGCCGCCGGTTCCCATGTCTTCCACAAGTTTCGACGAGCTTTTTTGTCGCGAGGGAACACGCCCGCCGCTGGGTGCCCGTTAATTTCTCTTAATTAAGCTCAATCGAGGTTAATGCACCGCAGCTTGACCCTAGTTTACCAAATCCAGCATAGGAGGAGGCTATAGTCGCTTCATCGAACATTGTGCTCGGAGCATTTCGATCGTTCGCTGCAATAATTAAGAAACAATTTCGGGACAGGAGACGTAATTACTCGAAATCGTTCTTTTAATAAAACGATTCAGCAAGATATACAGTAAATTTGCACAATGATCTGCAGTCTAATTAGTAGATATATGCATGACAAAAATGCGTAGCCTGAAATACAAAATTGCGAGGGCATAAAAATAATTTAATAATACAGTTACGCTATTTTCAGCTGATTAAAGCGATCGAAGGAAACGATTTTTATTTATATAATTTTTATTCGGACATTAGTAGACAGAAATGCATGATAAAAATGCGGTCTGAAATACAAAATTGCGAGGGCATTAAAATAATTGAATAATACAGTTATGCTATTTTCAGCTGATTAAAGCGATCGAAGGAAACGATTTTTATTTATATAATTTTTATTCGGACATTAGTAGACAAAAATGCATGCCAAAAATGCGCAGCCTGAAATATAAAATTGCGAGAGCATAAAAATATTTTAATAATACAGTTACGCTATTTTCAGCTTACTAAAGCGATCGAAGGAAACAAGTTTTATTTATATAATTTTTATTCGGACATTAGTAGACAAAAATGCATGCCAAAAATGCGCAGCCTGAAATATAAAATTGCGAGGCCATAAAAATAAGTTACGCTATTTTCAGCATATTAAAGCGATCGTACGAAACGATTTTCATTTATTTAATTTTTATTTTATATTGATAGCAGAAATTAAAGTCCACATTCGAGTGTTATTCAAGCTGCGACAACTGTCGCAAGTCGAACGAGGAACGCCACGAAAGTAACCGCACATGAAAAACGCTGACGTAATTCACCGCACGTGACGTTGGACCGGAAGCCGCGTTTTGCTGTACGGATATGCTTTCCTGAAACAGATCGGAAAGCCCGGCGAAACTATGCGACTAGAATTTCGAGGATTTGACGTAGCCGGGAATTTTACGAATTATCTCGCTCGAAACCGACGAGAGATGTCGCTCAGACAATAGTAAATTCTTCCTAATTTTTCCTTAGCTTGTAAACAAAAATGGAGAATTTGGGAAGAGAAGGTACGATTATTCCAGCCTTTTTTTAATAATCATTGACAATCGGTAACTATGAAAATGAGCCGCAAGACTCGAATAATCGTATCTCCTCCTCCCAAATCGGCCGTTTTTGTTTACAAACCGAATAAAAATTAAGGAAAATTTACTGTACTCGGGTTTCTAACAATGGTAATTATCAGGAAACCGTGACAATTGTTAACACATCGTTCGGGCCGAAATTCGACTTTTTTTTCAAAAATTCCTCCAACATCACCGAAGCGTATCTGATATTCTTTTATTTGTTCGTCGATTTCCAGGCCTCGGAGGTTGGTCAAAGTCGAATGAATCACGCCGAACGGCACACAGAAGCTCGTCGTCATCGTCGAAATGGACAATACGGCCGCAGCAATACAAAACAATACAAAGAGCACGATCATCGATGCCGATATGTCAAGGTAATTAACGTTCCGAGCGACGAGTCGAAAATAGAATGCAATTATCCGCGTAACTATCGAGTCCTCGAGTTTCCTTGTACCATTATAAAATAATATGCGACGTTGTCCCGTCGCATCGATCGCGGAGATCCAATATTTTCAACAGAATTTTATTATAAAAATTTATTATATAAGAATTTTATTATAAAAAGTTAAGATTACCGATTATCAATTAAAATTACCGATCGTGATGTTCGAACGATTGCAAGTAAACTTAAAACTATAGTACGAACTTTTGTTGTTCGTTCGCTATTTGTTCATTTTTATTATCGGAATGTTTAACAATTTTTCATCGTCCCGAAAATGTCTTGCAATCCGGAAATGGGAGGTCCTGCGGTCATTTGAAGCAACTTTTTCCTTTGCGAAAATTTTCGCCGAAGCTTCGTTTACAAGTTATCAACGAAAAACACTGACCAATAAGAGGCGAGCTCGGCTGGCGCGCGGCGGCCCAGCCAACGGGTGCACGGAGCCCGGTTCCGCTCATTGGCTCGGCCGTCTCGCGCCAAATGATCTCGCCTCTGATTGGTCACTGTTTTTCGTTAATAACTCGTAAACGAAGCCGCGGATCGCATTTTCGCTAAGGAAAAAGTTGCTTCGAATCGCCTCAGGAATCCCCTACTTTCGGATTGCGAGACATTTTTGGGACACTCTGTATAAAGTTCGAATATTAATTTACTGCAGGTTTATTTATAACAGTGGATAAAACGAGTATGTACTTTGTTCACAGATTTCCGAAGTCGCTGCAGACATTCGCGGCCGCGGTTGCCATGTTAATAATGATCGTCGGCCTCGCCGGAAATCTGCTAACGATCATCGCTCTCTGCAAATATCCGAAGGTTCGCAACGTTGCGGCAGCTTTTATCATAAGGTAATGCAAATATGTATTTACTTTCGTCCTATGCGATTCTCTTTGAAATTGAAAATGAAACCGCCTTGGCGTTTTAATTACAGTAAATTCTCCCTGATCGACGCTTTGCCATTTTTGTGCACAATCCGAGCGTCAATTAGGGAGAATTTGCTATACATTTCGAAGGCACACTTGGCACGACAAATTCTAATTTAATCGATTCGTACGATCGTTATAGTTTATGCGTGGCAGATTTTGTGTTCTGCTTGCTGGTATTGCCGTTCGATTCCATCCGGTTCGTCAACGCTAGTTGGGCGGAAGTGCGGTTTCTCTGCGTCTTCGTACCTTTCCTGAGATATGGGAACGTCGGGGTCAGCCTCCTCTCCGTCGCAGCCATAACCATTAATAGGTAAACGATCCTCGGATCTTGTTCGATTCTCTGCGATCGGTGAAAAAGAAATTTGCTGATTAAATCAGCAAAGAAGATTCATACAGGGTATCCCAAAAATGTCTCGCAATCCGAAAGTAGGGGATTCCTGAGGTGATTCGAAGCAACTTTTTCCTTAGCGAAAATGCGATCCGCGGCTTCGTTTACGAGTTATCAACGAAAAACAGTGACCAATCAGAGGCGAGATCATTTGGCGCGAGACGGCCGAGCCAATGAGCGGAACTGGGCTCCGTGCACTCGTTGGCTGGGCCGCCGCGCGCCAGCCGAGCTCGCCTCTTATTGGTCAGTGTTTTTCGTTAATAACTCGTAAACGAAGCCTCGGAGAAAATTTTCGCAAAGAAAAAAGTTGCTTCAAATGACCGCAGGACCTCCCATTTCCGGATTGCAAGACATTTTCGGGACACCCTGTGTATATCGTCATCCAACTTCCAACAATTTCGGAAATATCAGTGCACTAAAAACCACGGAAATTACTTTCAGGTACATCATGATAGCTCATCACGGTTTGTACAGCAAAGTGTACAAGAAATACTGGATCGCTTCTATGATCGTGTTCTGTTGGATCTTCTCTTACGGGATGCAACTGCCCACCCTCTTAGAAGTCTGGGGTAAGGCGAACCGTACATTTCTCTCCATTTTCCATCGGCAACATTCAATCGTATAGATACCGTCGCGCCGTAAAAAAATGAACAGAAAATAAAAAAATTGCTATTATGCAATGCTATATGCTATTGCACATATTTATGTTCAATGAATAAATTCAACTAAAACGCGAATACAATTCGGAATTGAAAGAACTGTACGTACGATGAAAGATTGTCCAGAGTTAAGATAACAACAACGAAGCAAAATAATAACTTTATACTTCAGTTTTATTTAAGTTATTTTATTTTATGTAACTTTATTTAATTTATTTTATTTAACTTAAGTTTATTAATTTTAACTTAAAGTTAACTTCGAATATAACAATCGTGGTAGATCAGACTTAGAAGATTTTATGCGAACGAAAATATTCAGGAACCGGTTCGTGCGATTTCCCGACAACGTCACATCATTGAAACGTTTCGTTCATTTTACAGGAACATTCGATTACGATAAAAATCTCGAGACCTGCTCGATCGTTAAGGACGCCAAAGGTCGCACGTCGAAAACGTTCCTGTTTGTGATGGGTTTCCTGATACCCTGCATGGTGATCGTTGGCTGCTACACGAAAATATTCTGGGTAGTGCACAGGTAAATGCAATGATTCGAATGATTTGTAGGACCATTTTCTTTGCAGTTAGTACAAAAGTCCTATCGATTTTTCAAAAGCTAAGTAAAAAGATAGTCAAAGGTAGCAAAAAGCTATCGCTGACCTTCCGAGAAATTTCGTTACTAGCTCTAAAAATTCTGTAATTTTTTCAATTCCGAACCGTCTTAAAGCTTAGATCTTGTCTTTTCTAGATCCGAGTCAAGGATGCGAAAGCACACGGCGCCCGCGATAAAATCGCCGCACACCCCCGGACGGGACACCAGAGAGATTAAACAGAAACGAAGCGAATGGCGGATTACGAAGATGGTCCTCGCAATTTTCCTCAGCTTCGTCGCCTGTTACCTGCCGATCACTATCGTTAAAGTAGCCGACCCGGAAGTCGGATGTCCAGGTAAAGTATCCACGCGAAAGAAATTGAATTAAAAGCCTGATCCCGGAATATGCGAGGGATGAAGTTGTTCAGAAAATTTGTTCATCATTTTACAGAATTATTAATTAATTATTTAGAAAAATATAGAACTTATTATTGCTTGCAATCGTCTTTGATTTATCCGCGCGTTAGCGATGTAACGAACGCTATTTAAACTTCCTACGATTTTTATTACAATATACAGGAGATCCCATAATGATGTTAACATAATTAAAGGAAAAGGGTGACTCCTGGGGTCATTTGAAGCAACTTTTTCCTTTACAAAAATGTTCTCCGAGGCTCCGTTTGCGAGTTATTAACGAACAAACACTGACCAATGAGAGATCGCGCACGGCTGACGTCCCGCCCTTGCAACTACTACCGCTGCGTCAGACGGCAAGCGCGACGTGGCATTGGCCGCGAGGGCGGGGCGCCGACCGCGCTCGCTCTCCGATTGGTCCGTGTTTTTCGTTGATAACTCGTAAACGAAGCCGCGAATCGCATTTTCGCTACGGAAAAAGTTACTCGAAATGATCTCAGGTACCTCTAATACAATAATTCCCGCTCATACAATAATTTTGGGAAACCTTGTATATTTCATATTATCTTCTTGAAGAAACGTTTTTATAGTATCAGGGATTGTAAACGAAAAAAATCGGAAGCCAGTCGTTCGGTAGATCTAGGGTTAACAACGATGCGGTCTCGTTTCAGGGTGCCACGTGCTGGGCTACCTTCTCCTCTACTTCGCGTCCTGCGTGAATCCAATAATTTACGTGATCATGAACAAGCAGTACAGACAAGCGTACGCCGGGGTGATCGGCTGTTCGCGGATAAGGGCGGGCCTGACGCCGTACGGGAGCAGCGCGCCCGGCCACCATCATCAACAGGACTACGGCCAAGGTAACTTCGAGCCCCGTCGAGTGATAACGCTCACCAAGGTCTGACCGAACGCGAGCTAAGCGAAACACACTTCGCTCTCCACACTTATTTCGTAAGTCCAGGGCACAAATTCGCTGCTTTCTATCGTCGCCTTTTCTCTCCTCCCCCCCCCCCCCTAAATCATGGTTCCGGTCTGCTCTCGTCGCGTGCATACACGTTCCTCGCAACGCTTTCCGCCGCTCTCTGCCGGCAAACACGGACAGGCAAATACANTTTCTATCGTCGCCTTTTCTCTCCTCCCCCCCCCCCCTAAATCATGGTTCCGGTCTGCTCTCGTCGCGTGCATACACGTTCCTCGCAACGCTTTCCGCCGCTCTCTGCCGGCAAACACGGACAGGCAAATACATGGTGTCCCGAAAATGTCTCGGAAATGGGAGGTTCCTGAGGCCATTTGAAGCAACTTTTTCCTTTGCGAAAATGTTCTCCGAGGCTTCGTTTACGAGTTATTAACGAAAAACACTGACCAATAAGAGGCGAGCTCGGCTGGCGCGCGGCGGCCCAGCCAACGAGTGCACGGAGCCCAGTTCCGCTCATTGACTCGGTCGTCTCGCGCTAAATGATCTCGCCTCTGATTGGTCACTGTTTTTCGTTAATAACTCGTAAACGAAGCCGCGGATTGCATTTTCGCTAAGGAAAAAGTTGCTTCTAATCACCTCAGGGATCACCTACTTTCGGATTGCGAGACATTTTTGGGACACCTTGTATTTATGTTGCGGCGTGAAGATAACGATTAGCATACCCGTTATCTTCTGCCGCGACTGAACAGCCCGAGCCGTGCCGTTTCGCTTCTTTTCGTTAACTTTTCTTAACAGTTCTTTAGCACGCTAACAGTCGCATCAGTGTCCAGCATGAGAACAACTTGTTCATTGAAAGGATTGCTAGATTAAGGAAGCTGGAACTTTGCACACGTTTTTATCATAGTTTTAGTAAATTGTACAAATATTTTGACTCCGATTTGCTTGATAACGTGTCACCGGCGCAATTAGAACACCCTACTTTTGACGATTAACATTTGCGTACAACAAAAACATATGCAAAGCGTCAGAACAATTAATTAAATAATTTTCCTGGTAAAAGCTGATTCTTCATTTTTAATCGTGTCCTGCTTTTGTCGCTGTGCACAACGCCGATCGTCTGAAAAGCGTTCGAAATAATCCGGTGTCCGGTGAATCGACTGACATTCCCATGGTTCTCGTTGCAGACTTCAGCAAGACGATGGTGTCCACGGTCTCCATCGCTATGAATCCCGTGAGGAATCCTCACTTCGAAGAGGACTCGTGAATTTAGGACCGAACATCGCGCAAGAATAGGAGGAGACAGCGTTCGCAGCGTACAAAATTGAACTGTCTCTTCGTACCCTCTTCCCCTCCAACTCGACCAAAGGGAGCATTGTTCCCATCGGAGTGTTCAAATCTCTGGCAGAGAACGCGTCGTTCTTTGTAAATCAACTTCGAAATACACCGAAATTACTCGGCGATACTCGCACAGTTAAGCGTCGCTGTCTTTCGGAGACCGAGCTCGATAATTTCGGTTTATTCGAAACCAGTCGTTTCGTCGATTTTCGATGAAACTGATCGATGAAATAGGATCGATTTTGCGACCGCGTTTGCGCTCGGCGTTACGACCGAGTCGAGCCGTCGCGAAGATGAGACGATGCAGCAGTGCTGTTTTCGTATCTAGTAGCATTATAAATAGCTTCAGTATTGTACAATAGAGAGTAAAGTAAGTTATTTCTCGATCGATAAGTGAAATGTTGATATACATATTGTAGAATCGTGACGAATATGCTGTGTGTTCAATATCCTCGAGACGCAAGTGTCGAACTTTTTTGCCAAAGGTTGCACGTAAATATATTTGTACATAGAAGCACTCGTTAATCGCTATAAATATCATGTAAAAATAAAACAGATATTATATATACACACACAAACATATGTATACAGGGTGTCCCAAAAACGGTTCGCAATCCGAAAGTAGGGGATTCCTGAGGTGATTCGAAGCAACTTTTTCCTTAGCGAAAATGCAATCCGCGGCTTCGTTTACGAGTTATTAACGAAAAACAGTGACCAATCAGAGGCGAGATCATTTGGCGTGAGACGGCTGAGCCAATGAGCGGAGCCGGGCTCCGTGCACTCGTTGGCTGGGCCGCCGCGCGCCAGCCGAGCTCGCCTCTTATTGGTCAGTGTTTTTCGTTGATAACTCGTAAACGAAGCCTCGGAGAACATTTTCGCAAAGGAGAAAGTTGCTTCAAATGACCTCAGGAACCTCCCATTTCCGGACTGCGAGACATTTTCGGGACACCCTGTAGATATACATATATATATGTATATTGACGCAATCGTGATTTTATATTGGAAAATTGTATTTATTCTTCTTAGACAAATCTAAAAACGAAACATTCTGTAAAAAGACAATCGGAAAAAAGTACAAATTAAATACTTTTTCTGCTATTCCGCGTTTTATCTTTCTTCTCCGGAGAACCTATCGAAGAAAAATTTCAATTTCACGTGATGTCCCAAGCGGAAAAAGAGAATGTGAATCCGCGAACGCTTTCAAGCAATACGATGGATCGGTGAGAGCTCAATCGTTGTTTCGACTTCGTTGTTAAATTCGATTAAGAATAAATGTTTGCCATAGTTGAATAAACATGCGAGTCGCACGGTTAAAAATTGGAAGATCGCGCTAGTCTGGTCGTGAGCGTAAAAAAATGTTTGCGAAGGAAAACTTATATATATATATATATATATGTAGCGAGCATCGTGAAATTATACGATCGCAATCGGCGAACACCGATCACGACTTGCAGCACGAGGTTTTTTCTCGAATCACTGGCCTATCTCGCAGGCTGACGGAGTCACGTACACCTCCGTCGATTCTCGTTTTCAACACGTTCTCCACGAGATAACGCATCGCCACGTCTGCGAAAAGAATAGAATCATTTTACATTGCCGGAATTTGAAACGCGTGCCGGCTGAACGACTCGGCTTCCGTCCGAGTCGGCTGTCTGCGAGTTGATCTGCCAGGCTCGCGATAAATCGTATAAACTATTTCATGCGAGATAGAAAATACAGTAATGTCTCCCTTACCGACGCTCATCAGATCGACCACAAAAATGGACAATTTGGGAAGAGGAGATGCGATTGCTCAAGCCTTTTGGCTCGTTTTTTTTTATAGTATATAGCCAATAACTATAAAATAATATAATAATATAATAATATAGCCAATAACTATAAAAACGAGCCGTAGGGCTCGAACAATCGTATCTCTTCTTGCCGAATTGTCCAGTTTTGTGGACAATCTGGGCGTCGATTAGAGAAACATTACTGCATCTCGTTTTACGAGTACAAGTCGAGAACGTGACCGGTAGCCTCTAAAATGTCGCGGTAACTCCGTCGTTAAGTTGCTTACCAACGTTCGTGTTTTCCTTCGCCGAGGTCACGTACCAGGCTCCTATGTTGTTCTCCTTGCAGAACTTCGCGATCTGCTCGATCGGCACAACGGGATAAGGAATATCGCATTTGTTCGCCAACAGTACCACCGGTATATTCCCGCCATCCGGCAGCGTGACCTTCTCCCGCAGATCGGACAGCCATTTTTTGATCGACTGAAACGTCGCTATCCGCGATATGTCAAATACCAAAGCTGCTGCCACTCTGTACAAAATACGTATCGTTATGAACGTATGCTGCGACACGCTCGTATTCGTTTCGTCGGGGCTGGGGAAAAATAGATTTTCGAGATAGTAAAATGGACTATATTTTATATAGTCTAATAATATAGATAATAATATATTTACATAGTCTAAATATATAATAGATATATTTTATTAATATATATTTTATATATATTTATTTATTAATGATATATTTGATTAATGATAGACTGTAAATATTTTTATCTTCTCGTGTAATACAGAATTTAACAAATAAAATTTGTTCGGAACAGTATATATATATATATATTATATTATAATTATATATATTAATTATTATTATTACATAGTATATATTAATTATAATTATATTATAAAATATATATATATATGTAGTTACACATGGAAACAGCATTTCAAATATATTCAGCCGCGTGATGTCCATTTGTGACTACTGTTTAAAGAAGAGTTTATTTGCCAAATTCTGTATTGAAGATTAAAATACTTACAGTGTACTTGCTATCTCAAAAATGTATTCTTTCCCAGCCTTGCATTCGATTAGCAACTTCATGATTACAAATTCCAAAAGAGAACACATTCTTCTCACGCGCTTCGATCAGTATTAACCGTCACATGTTATCGAATAACGAAAAAAGAAAAAAGCACTTACGCATATTTATAATAAACTCTAGTCATGTATCCAAACCTTTCATGGCCGGCAACGTCCCTGAAAAATCAAGTAATGATTTTACGCAACAGCAATTATGAACCGACTTAAAAATTGTAGACACTGAATCGCGCGTATAATACGGAGCATAAAGGTAGAATTTAATTAACGAACATTGAAATAACAAATATATGTAAATCGACTGCTGATTTTACGCATTTATACTTTATACGATTAAGCAACATTTTTATAACGTAATAAACACTTCGATAACAATTTTAGTCGAACATTCATTTCACACGTGTCTTTTGCGATCGTTAAGAAAAAGCATCCTCGCGGATCAGCTTGGACAGTTTTTATTTTGCGCAAAGATCCGCGGTCTTTCAATTACTTTCAGCCGGAATTCAACAACGTTCGGAGGCTGCGAGGCTTCCGATCTTTCGTTTAATTCGATTTCTTCTATTCGGTCTCCGCCTAATTTCTCTGCTATTTAATTTCTCGAGGTTCAGAGAACTCGGGCGGCACGCGATGCAGAAAGGGACTCTTGATCTTGCTAATTTAATACAGGCACAGGCACACGGGGAGGTAAACTGCATTGAATCGCATAATGGCGCGCGAATGCAACGCCTAATTCTCCGCATCGTAACTCCTCTGTCGAGGATTTCATTATTGCATAGACGCACGCTTTTAATAAGCGTCGAAAAATTACGCGAGACGAAAGATCGGCCGCGTCGATTGCGATAGAAAAAAAGAACACGAAATGGAAAAGTTCTTTCTTCTCTCCGCGACGCGTAAACTCCGCGAACTACAGTAATGTCTCCCTAACTGACGCTCCGATTGTCCTCAGAAATGGACAATTTGGGAAGAGGAGATGCGATTGCTGAAGCCTTTTGGCTCGTTTTTTTATAGTATATATATAGTCAATAACTATAGAATAATATAATAATATAATAATATAATACTATAATACTATAATACTATAATACTATAATACTATAATACTATAATAATATAATAATATAATAATATAATAATATAATGATATAATAATATAGCCAATAACAATAAAAACGAGCCAAAAGGCTCGAATAATCGTATCTTCTCTTTCCGAATTGTGCATTTTTGTGGAAAAATCTGAGCGTCAATTAGAGAGACATTACTGTATCGTGTAACCTACCACAGTTGTAGATTTATTTTGGTCTGTGGATCCCAGTCGAGAGATTTGATCGCGAAATCGGCTCCTATGGTGATCTTATAATTCGACGTGAACTTTCCTGTGCAAAAAGTAATCCGATGTTAAGTTTACAAACATAAGTTTAATCGGGAACAATTCGTCGAGTGAAACGAAAAGAAAAAAAGCGATAATACATCCTTTGTTGACGTTCTCAACGTTATCATCTTTCAACCGAAGGGAGATCAGAGTGAACTAGGTCAAGAATAAAAACAATCGGACGTTTATTTATGCGATCGTTGATAGCAGGTGCAGTAAGGAATAAATACGGCGATGCTATTGGTCGTCTTGAACATTGAAATTAATCTAGGAAAAATGAGAATATAAAGAAGAACTAAGTTACTTTCGACATATCGATAAATTCAGTGCACTCTATTCATAAAATTAACCCTTTGCACTCGAATGGCGACTCTGAGACACAATTAAAAAATATACTTGTTCACATTTCGAATGTAATTCGCCGATTATCAGAGTTTTTTATATTCTAAAAACTGTTGCCAATCTTAATGCTGTATATATATTTATATAATGTAATATAATAATATAATATATATATATATATAATTATAATAAATTATATAACATGGAAATAGTGCAGATCAAGAAAGCAGTTTCGGATTTAGACTTAAAATAGCTTCGAGTGCAAAGGGTTAAAAATAAAAATAAAAATAAGATTGAAATTCGCCTAATAAAAAAAGTAGTATAGTAAGAGCCAATGCAATTGTCATTACCTTCGGTGTACCGTCTGACGAGCGCAGTTTTTCCTAGAAGAATTGAGAGAAACAAATTACTATCACTAATACAATCGTTTTTTCGCCATGCAAAGCAAAGTTTGATCACCACCCGCGTTTCCCTAGTCTCTACTGTCCGCGAAATAAAATAAAACGACGCGATCTTTAGCTTGTTAATTTCATCCGACAATTTCATTTCAATTTCATTTCATCTACGCGCATTCGTGGCTCGCAAAAATGCCAAACGAGCAAAATACCAAGTCCGGTGGAATCGAACACGTTCGCTATCATGTTTTACAAAATATTGCACTGCTTACAAAACGAACTCGACCGTGACCCAGGAGATCGTGGACGTCGCGCGCGTGGTACGGCGTTGCAGCGAACGTGTTAGGCAGATTTTTAAGTTGGAATTGCATACTAACGGAAGCGGCATAGCGCGCAGTCGGTGGCGAACTTTCGAATACGGGGGTATAAAACAGCCGCGACGCACCGACGCCATAGTCGCCGATCACGAGAAACTTGAACAGGAACTCCTTCTGGCTGAACTTCGACAGCAGCGCGTCCGAGTCCCTCCGCGGTTTCCGATTGTACATCTCCCTCCTCCTGTCGTTCACCTTTCCGCGATGATCCAGCTGCCTCGAGTCTGCAAACGAATGTATCCCCGATTTTTCTTTCCCGAGCTAACATTGCTATCGCATTTTTTCTTTCGCGAGCTAACGCATTGCTATCAGAATACTTCCTCAAACAGTGAGCTCTCTACTCTATAGGGTGTCCCAAAAATGTCTCTCAGTCCGGAAATGGCGGGTTCCTCGGATCATTTGAAGCAACTTCTTCCTTTATAAAAATGTTCTCCGAGGCACCGTTAACGAGTTACTAACGAAAAACCAGTGACCAATAAGAATCGAGTACGGCCGACGCGAGGCGGCCCAGCCAACCAGCGCACGAAGCCCGGTTCCGCCCATTGGCTCGGTCGCCTCGCGCCAGCCGAGCTCGCCTCTCATTGGTCACTGTTTTTCGTTAATAACTCGTTAACGGTGCCTCGGAGAAAGTTTTTGTAAAGGAAAATGTTGCTTCAAATGACCCGAGGAACCCGCCACTTTCGGATTACGAGACATTTTTGGGACACCCTGTACTATGATTTCGAAACGACGCTGTCAGTGCTATCTTCTCAACACTCACGACTTATCAGTCTGCCTCACGAAAATTATCGCGACCGTACGAACACGAAGAAAATTATGAAATCGTGGAGAATGCTAGATATTCGAGAAGAAACGCATAATTTTAGTTAGTCTGTCGGAGCGCCGTGCACGAACTTATTATCCGTTGTCGAAGAATCTTTGATCGTTCGTTTAGTAAACAATTAGCGCCCACATTAACCCTTTGCGCACGAGTGGCGACACTGATGCACCACTAAAATTGTTACTCCACGTGTCAAGATAAGTTTTACATGATCAAAGCTTAGATATAAAAAATTGTTAAAAGCCCAATTGTTGTACGAGCCGTAAGACTCAAATTTTATATGCATAAAATTATACTTTGTCGTATAAAATGGAAATACTATGAGTCGGAAAAGTTCATTTAGATTTACAGTTAAAAAGGGCTTCGAGTGCAAAGGGTTAAAATGCATTTTAACCCTTAACGGTCCGGAAGTGTTTCAAGTTTGCTTCCCACCAGGTCCAAAATAACTGTTGCAACGCGCGCGTGCTCTCTTGAAAAATCAAAACAAGACTGAATTTGCATGCGAACAACGCAAAAGTACACTTAAACAATAAAAACAGTAAAAAATAACGGAACATAGACAACAAGCAGAAAGCTAATTCACAAAAATGCCATGGCACAGTATTTAACGCGTTACTACAACAATAGTTACATATAACAACAATCACAGCAATAAGAATAATAAATCGGTTCTTGTCGCCATATGCGTTAAGGGTTAATATATATATCCGTAATATAATATTAATAATAATAATAATAATAATATATATATATATATCCGTTAAGGGTTAATAAAATTAAAGCTAACCGCTCGTAAAATAACATTCGCGGAACGGCGCGCACTGTTTACATTTCTTTCGTTTCTCTCTTTCGGTGTCCGCAGTCACGGATCGAGTATTCCCGTGCAGCTTACAGTTCGCATGGAACTGTTTGAAACTCGTCGAACCGAATGAAATACGATCGAATAACATACACAAAACGGCACACTATAAAATATACGATCGACGGAATAGTGGTGCTACATACTAGCGGTAAACATTGTAACACTGATCGAACGTCGATTTTGCGGAACCTCGGCGCCTGCGAGCGGAGGCGTACACTAGCGAAATCTATCCCCCCCCCCCCCTCCATAGAAACTACCTCTCCGAAGACGTATGTACTTCGCAGAAAATATTTGTCTCACTGACGAAGTACGTACCCCGAACGCGTGCGTCGCGTTCCTCGTTAGGTGGCAGACTAATTGCAAATGAGCCGAGGGTGACAAGAGAGAAAGAGAAAGATAGACTCGCCTCGACCTCGAGGATCGTCTCGCTGCCTCCTTAGCCCGCCCTCCCCCCTCCCGCCCCTCGAACAATCATCGTCGCGGTGCTATCTACGATTCGGTGACCGGGCCGTAAACACATCGGAGCTCCCGTAAATTTCGAGTCCGTTTATCGGCCTGAGTTCCCGCTCTCGCCGCCGCTTTTCTCGGTATTATGCATATTCCGTGACGGTTTATCGTTCCGAGGGGCCGGTCGGTCGGTTTAGCCCGGGATTAATCAGCGTCCGACGGACGCAAGTGTGCCCGGGAAAGCTGTTTAAACTCTCTCCGTCGCGACGCGGCGCGATACCGTTTCCACTCATTGTTCCGCGGCGGTATAATGACCAAGGTTGTTGACAATAAATGATGTTATTCGGCCGGGTTTATCGTTTCGCCGCGCTGCTATCGAATTACGCCCTCTGCTGTACGAAAGCCGTGTACCAAACAAAGTATGTAAATCGCCTTCAACTTGTCGCCTCAGCTTGGAAGCAACATCGACGATTTGGAAAGAGGTTATACGATTATTCGAACCTGTGAAAACGAGCCGCGAAGACTTCTCTTTCAAAATCGTCCATTTTTGCTTACAAGCTAGAGTACTTTCTAATTAGTACGTTGTACTATTTCTTTTATTCGTGCGGACTAACGAATTCTATCGAGACTCGCATAAGATACGAACTTTTATAGCGCAATGCTTTATTCGTTAACAGGATAAGCATTACTTTCAATATTGAAGCAACCACTAAAATGACGGTTCCAGATCCTTTATTTTGCAATTGTTATACAAATTACCGTGCCGATGGTCATCAATATACAGGGTTTCCCAAAAATGTCTCGCAATCCGAAAGTGGCGAGTTCCTCAGGTCATTCGAAGCAACTTCTTCCTTTACAAAAATGTTCTCCGAGGTACCGTTAACGACTTATTAACGACAAAACAGTGACCAATGAGAGGCGAGTTCGGCTGGCGCGAAGCGACCGAGCCTATGAGCGGAACCGGGCTTCGTGCGCTGGTTGGCTAGGCCGCCTCGCGTCGGCCGTACTCGATTCTTATTGGTCACTGGTTTTTCGTTAATAACTCGTTAACGGTGTCTCGGAGAACATTTTTGCAAAAGAAGAAGTTGCTTCAAATGATCCGAGGAACCCGCCATTTCCGGATTGCGAGACATTTTTGGGGTACCCTGTATCTATTCGTCCAAACAAACTACAAAATACAAATGCTACAATAATCTAATAAATGCTTATTCATAATCCAACATTCGTATATCCAAAGGAAGCTTAACAACATTCCAGAAGAAGTGATTTGGTTTAACACGATAGTAGCTCAAACATACTAACTGTTCTACGTTTCATCGAAGCAACGGAAATTCAATTTGCTTCTATTATTGTGAAAGTTGTTTCGTGAAAATCGAGTTTTTTAATATGACAACCAGGTTTTAGGATTTTTAATAGTCAATGTGTCGATTTCGTCTGGACTGAAGCCCTTCACGAGCATCTTCGGCAGGACGTTGTTCGAAATATGGGAAAATCCATGGCCGCCGAACTTCGCCTAGTTTTGGGGAACAAAAAGAATTCGTTATTTTAATTATTCTCCTTGGTAGGGAAGCTTTAAAACGAGACGAAGACTATACGTACAGGATGACCCAAAAATGTCTCGCAATCCGAAAGTGGCGGGTTCCTCGGATCATTTGAAGCAACTTCTTCTTTTGCAAAAATGTTCTCCGAGACACCGTTAACGAGTTATTAACGAAAAATAGTGACCAATGAGAGGCGAGTTCGGCTGACACGAGGCAACCGAGCCAATGAGCGGAACTAGGCTTCGCGCGCTGGTTGGCTGGGCCGCCTCGCGTCGGCCGTACTCGATTCTTATTGGTCACCGGTTTTTCGTTAATAACTCGTTAACGGTGCCTCGGAGAACATTTTTGTAAAGGCAGAAGTTGCTTCAAATGATCCGAGGAACCCGCCATTTCCGGATTACGAAACAATTTTGGGACACCCTGTATAGGCGAAGATCTTTTCGCGAAGGTACTCTGTTTGCTCACCAATCTGTGCTTAGTGTGAATGTCGTGGCTCAAAAGCACGCGATTCAGTTTCTGATCGTCCCGCAGCAGTTTAACGCGATCGATTCGTTGCGCATCAGATAACATGTCCACTGTTGGGTTCAGCTGATAGAAAGAACACTCCAATCCAAACAGATCGAATTGACAGTAACATTTCGTCTCGTCGGCGAACTCCATAAGCTTATCTTCGGGCAGCGTTCCTGTTAGGGAACACAATTCGAACGTTCGTTAATTATTTATCCAGATGCGCGCATCGAATAAATCTTCAGTGCGCGCGCGCGTAATAACATTAAAGCAAACGATTGCTTCGGAATAATTAAAAATACGATTGATTTGAATGTACGCTCATAATAACGATACTCGTGCAATTACATTTCTATTCGCAACTATTATCTCCATCCGAAACGTTGACCGTCTTGCAAAAACACACAACGACTAATTTCTCTAACTGTACATAATGCTTCAAACTAAAAGATAACGCATACTTAAATCACGCACTGATAAGAATTGGAGAACAGAAATAGATATCCTACACGCTCCGGTCTTACTTAGTTACGAAGGTCCCGATAACAAGTAACATAAATGCATACGATAGACCGTGCTCTTCCACTGAAATATACAGCACTGAATTAGGCGGTGCCCTAAATGAGCCGATAATAATCACTGTGCTTATAGCAAATGATCTTCTCTCGTTTTGGCCAGTTTATAGTTTTGATATCATATATTAATAATAATAATATAACATAATATTAATAATTAATAATCAATTAATAATAATATAGCATAATATTAATAATTAATAATAAATTAGTAATAATTAATATAGCATAATATTAATAATTAATAATAAATTAATAATAATTAATATAGCATAATATTAATAATTAATAATAAATTAATATAACATAATATTAATAATTAATAATAATTAATATATTAATAGACTTTATATAATATAATATAGGCTGCGGAAGTAAGTGGGCTGCGGATTTTGTGCACGAACAACAAAAATAATTAAGTAAGATTTAAGTCAGCGGTCTAATGATCTAATAATAATAATTAAAACGTACGGTCCAAGTGAGATAGAATGGCTTTCGCACTGTCGCCCCCAGCTTCCTGGTACAGTCTCATTATTTCGAAAGGTGCATCCGAGTCTCGTCCAGGATGGAAACTCACAGGGCACTTTAATTGCGCCTGGACTTCTCCGGTCGATTGTATCGCTCGTTTCTCGAAGTCTGTTCGAAGCAAACAATCGAATCCATGCCTTGGATCATTGAATTACGTTATCGGATAGTAAAGAACATACTAAGTGCACAAAAATGAACAGTTTGGGGAGAGGAGAAAAATCAGACTAAATGTCTTACCGTTACTTTTATAAACTAATGTGAAACAACTGTTTCTCGTGCTCCGTAAATCTAGCGATAATAAATAACTTTGCGGCTCTTTTTTATCGTTGTTGAGAAAACAATAAATTTGTTAAATTTATTGTCAAACAATATTGTCGACAATCGACAATTGTAAAAACGAGAGACGCTAGGCTCGAACAATCGTATCTCCTCTTCCCAAATTCTCCATTTCCGTGGACGTCGTTAACCCTTTGCACTCGAGTGGTGACTCTGAGGCACCGCTAAAATTTGTTATATCACGTTCTAAGATCATTTTCGCATTAACAAAGTTTAGATTTGAAAAAATTGTTAAAAGTGTAAGTTAAAGTCGCAAGACTCAATTTCGCACGCATAAAATGCACTTTATGTCATACATTGGGTTGGCAACTAAGTAATTGCCGATTTGTTCAATGAAATAAAAATTTTTTTTTACTCGGAACGAAGTTTAATCTGTAATGTATTTTCCATTTTGTTCGATGACCTTTTGCCATCTCTCCGACAACTTGAAAATTCCACGCTCGTAGAAAGTCTGATCCTTTTCGGCCAAAAACTGAGTTAAGTGAGATTTTACAGCATCATCGTTAAAAGTTTTACCACGAAGGGAGTTGTTCAGGGATCGAAATAAGTGGTAATCCGATGGCGCGAGATCAGGGCTATATGGTGGGTGTAACATCGATTCCCAACCAATATCCATCAATTTTTGCCGAGTGGACAAAGACGTGCGCGGCCTAGCATTGTCCTGCTGGAAAATGACACCTTCACGATTGACCAATTCTGCTCGCTTTTCCTTGACCGCTGCATTCAATTTGTCCAGTTGCTAACATTCACGGATAATAAAAAGTAACGTAATAATAATAAGAATAATAATTTTATAATATAACATTTACGGATATCATAAAAATGGGAGTGAGAGACATCTATAACTGAAATC